CAATATTATCTGGAGGTACAAACATGTTATTTATAGAGAGCATATACCCATACACATACATACACACCCAGACAGCTACAGAGACCCTATAGTTTTAATAATAAAATGTACCCAGGAATCTGGTAAAACCCACTAGTTTATAAATAACAGTTGAGCTCAGACCGTGTCTGTGGCAGATGGGGCAAGTTAAGGTTTCCCGACCGAATGGCCAGAGTGTTTTACTGGTATTCGCGGGGAAGACTTAAGGTTTGTGTTTGCCCTTGATGAGTTTCCTCCTGGAGGCTGAGGCCTGGATGTGGGGGAGAAGCTTGTACTGCCCCCTGTATCCACCCTTCTGTTCCTGTCTCAGGTGCGCAGGGGCGGCGTCTTAGTTCTCTCGTGGGGTAATCACATTTTAAAGACACGATCAGATTTCCATTTTCAAGGGACAGAGAGAAAATGTAAGTTTTCCTCCTAGGACTTTTGGGGTGTACTTCTGTATTAGCAGACGTCCGGGGTAGTCGCTGTTTAAAATCTGTCTTCTTGGGGCGCCTGGGTGGCGCAGTCGGTTAAGCGTCCGACTTCAGCCAGGTCACGATCTCGCGGTCCGTGAGTTCGAGCCCCGCGTCGGGCTCTGGGCTGATGGCTCAGGGCCTGGAGCCTGTTTCCGATTCTGTGTCTCCCTCTCTCTCTGCCCCTCCCCCGTTCATGCTCTGTCTCTCTCTGTCCCAAAAATAAATAAACGTTGAAAAAAAAAAAAATTAAAATCTGTCTTCATATTAGGGTCAGATGACATGGGGCACTTCATCTGCTTCGTTGTCCAGCCGAACGTCCTCCCCTCTGCTGTCCTCATTTTGTCCGTGATTCCCCCTCTTAGATTCCCCATCAGGATTTGTCCGAGGGCTCGGGCCCTGACGTGTGGCACTTGGGCCCTCCTCGTTCCGTAAAACCAGCAGACGGAAGGGGGGCAGACAGGTGCGCATCTCGTTCTCACCTCGGTTCTTCTCACTTCCTAACCCGAACTCCAGACGCCGCTCGGGCGTCAGTGGCCAGCCCCTCACGGCAGCCACCAGTGCCCTTCTCTGCTGCGCCGTGCTACCGTGTGTCCTCAGCTCACATCCGACTCAGGGGCCATCCCTCCCTGTGCAGAGGTTCGTGGCTAGCCTGGGACTTCCCCTCGTGGATGCCTTGTTCCCAAGTCAAGTTTCTTTTGTCCCCTGACAGTTGTAGGTTTGCTTCCCGGATGGAGTTCAAATTGGCCCCTATACGCGGAGGCAGGGAGACACCCAAGAGGCCACTCCAGGTTGTAGGTGGCTGTGGCGGTCAGCGAGAGAGCCTACATACAAGGCTCGTCTTGAAGGACTGCAAGATGAGCGGATCCCCGCACCCACGCACAAGAATCTTAAAAGCTTATACAGAGGCCTTAGCGGGATTCGGTCATCCTATTCATTCAGGGTGTTCTCGACAACACGTTGCTCTCTCGAGACCACATTCTTGGAATGGCTCCTGGCGTTGGAACAGTGGGCAACACGTGCACTCCAACGACCGGAGAGGGGTAACAAATGTCCAGTTGCCTGGGTCCAGCTTGTGGCCCAGCCGCGGTCACGTCCTCTCGATGGCCTCCTCTAACAATTCTGTTAATGCTGCGTTTACTCCTGTTACTATTCACCATGGTCTTGGGGGTGCTAATCAATGTAGCAATAGTTAGAGGGGAAAAAGGAGGTTTCTGAGAAGTAAAAAGGAAGAGGGGCATCTGGCTGGCTCCGTCCGTTAAGTGTCTGACTCTTGATTTTGGCCAAGGTCACGCATGAACTCAAGGCTTATGAGTTTGACCCCACATCGGGCTCCGAGCTGGCAGTACAGACCCTGCTTGGGATTCTCTCTCTCTCTCTCTCTCTGCCCCTCCCTCGCTCATGCTCCCTCTCAAAAATAAACATTAAAAAAACAGAAAGAGACAAAACTATTACTGTATGCAGAGGCTATAGTCCTATTCATTATAAAAAAAAAAAAAAACAGAAAAATCAGCAGTTGATTAGAATTGGAGATTACAGCGAAGTCACCAGATGTTAAATCAGTGGGCAAACATCAGTAGTGTACTTACCACCAAGTTTCATAAAAATATCCTTCTATATTTTATAACCTGGTTATGAAATGTATTTTGTTATAACCTATATTTTTTAACCTTGTTAAGAGTTTTATTTTTAGCTTAAATTATCAACAGTGTAAAAAGAAAACCTCAGACTGGGAGAAATTATTTTCAAATCACATTATCTGCTAAAGAGTTAATATCCAGAATATATAAGGAATTCCTGCAACTTAACAAAAACCCAAACAACCTAATTGTTTATTTATTTATTTTGAGAGAAAGAAAACGGGGGAGGGGCAGACAGAGAGGGGTGCAGAGGACCTGAAGCAGGCTCCGAACTGTCAGCACTAAGCCCGAGGTGGGGCTCGAACTCATGAACCGTGAGATCGTGACCCGAGCCGAAGTCAGACACTTAACCCACTGAGCCACCCGAGCACCCCAAACAACCTAATTTAAAAGTAGGTGAAAGACCTGAATAGACATTTCTCCAGAGAAAATATGCAAATGGCCAACAAGCAAATGAAAAATGCCCGACATCACTAATTACTAAAGAAATGCATGAAGGCAAAACCACAGTGAGATACCACTTCATAGCCACTAGGATGGCCATTATAAAATTTTTTGAAAATCAGAAGATAACAGATTGGGGCATGGATGTGGAGAAATTGGAACTCTTGTGCACTGTTGATGACCATGTAGAATGAGGCAGCCACTATGGAGAACGGTATGGCTGTTCCTAAACAGATTGGACATAAAATTATCACTTGACCCAACAATTCCACTTCTGAGTATATATGCAAAAGACCTGAAGCAAGGACTTGAACAGGTATTTGCACACCCGTGTTCACAACAGTGCGATTCATAATAGCCCAAAGGTGGAAACCACCCAGTGGTCTCTTGACAGAAGAACGGATATTCTTCAGCCACAAAAAGGAATTCTGACACATGCTACAACATGGATGACCCTGGGGGACAGTATACTAAATAAAATAAGCAAGTGACAAAAGGACACAATTGTATGAATCCACTTATATGAGGTACCTGGAAAAAGCAAATGCATGGGGACAGAAAGTAGACTAGCGATTACCAGGGTCTCGGGAGAAAAGGGAATGGGGAGTTGTTGTGTAAAGGGTGTAGAGTTTTAGTATGAGATGATGGAAAGTTCTAGATATGGATGGTGGAGATGGTTGTGCAAAGCCATAAACGTACATAATGCCATTGAACTGTACAGTTAGTGGTCAAAATGGTCAATTTTATGGTATATATTTTACCTAATAAAAAGAGTTTTTTAAATTATTCCCCCAAATTTTTCAGGACTTTATATAAACCCTCAAATATGCAGTGGCATTCCTGCCATCATAGACCATTCCACACCCTACAATGTATGCGTATATGGAGGATTCTTCCTCCACATTTTCAGCTAACCTATCGACCGAGACAGGATAGAGGGGAGAGCAGATGTAGAAGTTACCCGAGTCTGGGGATCTTTTCACAACTACTAAAATTTCCAATACATAAAATTCTTAAGAAAATGTTTAACCTTACAGATCGTGAAAGGAACATTTCTTTGAAAATAGCATACAATTTTCATCTAATAAGAGATTTTTGAATGAAGAAAACACACCGATAGCTAAATGTATTCACCTATAAACTCTCACAGAAGCTATTTGAGATATAAATTGATTCAGCCTTTCTTAGTGAACCATCTGGCAATATATGTTAAAAATATGGGGTGCTTGGGTGGCTCAGTCGGTTGAGCGTCCGACTTCAGCTCAGTTCATGATCTCACGGTTCGAGAGTTGGAGCCCCGCGTCGGGCTCTGTGCTGACAGCTCAGAGCCCAGGGCCTGCTTCGGATTCTGTGTCTCCCCCTCTCTCTGCCCCTGTCCCTGCTCACACTCTGTCTCTCTCTCTCAACAATAAATAAACGTTAAAAAAAATTTTTTTTGAATAGCAAAATACTCTGCCCTAGAATCTCTTATTCTAAGAATTCATTATAAAGAAGTAATAACTGAAGTATATAGATTTATGCACAAGGAGCTTTATTTATAGCAGAATTATTTATAATCATAAAACAGCAAGAATCTGAATTCCATCAGCAGGAGAAGGACTTCCTGGACTATGGTGTGGCAATGTCACATTTCACTGGAAAGACATGAAGACGAACTTAAAAAGCAGGATGAGAAGCCAACCCTCTTTCTAACTTTTGATTTGAGCTTAGATGTTAAAGTATTGTATTTAAAAATACTAGAATGACATTGTATTAAATGCCATCATGACATGCATGAGCATTTAATCATCGTTACCCACGTGTGGTGGAATCGTAGAATGGCAGGTTCTACAAGAAGCCTGTATTATGTCAGTATAAAGAAAACAAACATCATAACAACAAAAGTAAGCTAAAGGGAGGAAGAAATAATCCCTCACTCTTTGTGCTCCTGCATGGTGTGCGTGACGGGGACGAGACAGGTGGGTGACGGGAGATGGAAGGAAACCAACACCCCATCCCCCTGCCGAAGATGCACCTGTTTGCTGTTTGTTTCAGCGAATTTAAATCTGTTGTCTGAAAGCGTCCTTCTCTTCATCAGGACCCATGTATTATTTAGTTTGTCACATGCACCACATTACCTGAATGTTCTAGGGTTTCATGTTAGAACAGTCAAACTTACAGAAAAGTTGCTAGAATAGAATGACGAAGTATGTAGATGTACGCTTCAAATAAGTAAGAAGCATTTCAGACAATGGCAGGTCCGTTCCCTGCTCCTCTTTCCTTCGAAAGGTAGCTCACACTCTGGTCTGATGAGTAGCTGTATGTGCAAGAAAAACCTCTGTGACAGTTCAGAAATGAAACAGTGTTGAATGTTAAACCTCGCTAATTAACCAGGTAAATTCTGGGTCTATTGTTCACTGCGGAAAAATACTCTTCCCTTTTTAAGGTGACGATTGGAAGGACGTTTCAACTGGGGAGAAAAATTCTCCATGTGCAAAAGTTTCTGCCAAATTCAAGAATACAGAAGAGAGGTCAGTTATTCATTCAGCAGACATGGTTAAGTACCTTCTGGGTGCCAGACACTCAAATAAGCACAGAATTACTAGGCAATAAACCTGTACCAGTTCTGGAAAGAAGGGGTTGTGTTTGTTTTGTCTGGAGTAGCTGATACACAGTAGGAATTTAGTAAACATTCTCTAAATGAACTGTTTCACAGGACTGGAAATTTTAAATACCGTTGTGTATGTGTACTATAGAAGAATGTTTGCCAATACACTTCGGTTCAGTGATCTGTTTCTAGGATTTTCATAATTTGTAAATAATTTTATGATAATGCTAAATCCTGAACTATTTTACATGCCTTGAAATCAGGCCCAAGCCCCTGATTCAGCTCCATCACCTTCGGCCCGGTTTCTGTAGAATTTCAGGGTCCACAGACCAGGGTGACCCCGTCAGCCCAGACTAGACGAGACTCTCCCCACACTTACAGCACCTGCCACTAGCCAGGTTCAAGTAAATCAGGCCCTAGGATTTGGTTGAGAGGAGACCGTATGAGCAACTATTCATTTGCTTGTGTATATCTACATAAAATGGAAAAATACCAGATCCTCTCCCAAAAGATAGGTAAATCTCAGCTAATAACTTGACCTAAAATAGAAGTGAATCACGTGTACTAAATCAGTGAAATAAAGGTTGACTACAAATCTCTTACACTAATGGTACTTTAAAAATAGTGACAGTATTGGGGCGCCTGGGTGGCTCAGTCGGTTAAGTGTCCAACTTCAGCTCAGGTTATGATCTTACGGTTTGTGAGTTCAAGCCTAGCATTGGGCTCTGTGCTGACACCTCAGAGCCTGGAGCCTGCTTCAGATTCTCTGTGTCTCTCTCTCTCTGCCCCTCCCTCATTCACGCTCTCTCTCTCTGTCTCAAAAATAAACATTAAGAAAAATTGAAAAAAAAATATTAACAGTATATAATCTACATGACTTAGCAAAGAAGATTCCACATTAACCTTAAAACATTTATGTCAATACCTAACTGTATCCTAACGTTTAATAATGAGACTTGGACATGAAATTGAAATACATCACTGAACTTTCTTCTAAAAATGTTAACCTTCGTCCTTCCACATGCATCTACCCCAGAGCTGAAAGTACATGGTATCTGGAAAAGAATCCTGATAAATTGAAAGTAGTGATTCAGAAGCTCTTCATGTTTGCATTTACGTGGGCGTTTGGAGGCGTTTTACAACATGAAAGTGACCCTGAAGGTGAGACGGTGCTGTATCGGAGCTGTGATCCCAGTTCAGCCGCCAGAGTCACTTACGGCTTCGACAATCTCGTCCGCAAACTGTTTGAAAATAACCCACAAGTAGGTAAGTTCTGGGCGGTGTTCGGGGGAAACAGTCGTAATTATGCTCACTTTAGAATGTTAGTTTGAAACTCCGTATGGTTGGGCTCATATTAAAATGCCCATCTTGGAACTGGAGAGTGTGATGCTAAGTGAAATAAGCCATACAGAGAAAGACAGATGCCATATGGTTTCACTCTTATGTGGATCCTGAGAAACTTAACAGAAACCCATGGGGGAGGGGAAGGGAAAAAAAAAAAAAAGAGGTTAGAGTGGGAGAGAGCCAAAGAATAAGAGACTGTTAAAAACTGAGAACAAACTGAGGGTTGATGGGGGGTGGGAGGGAGGGGAGGGTGGGTGATGGGTATTGAGGAGGGCACCTTTTGGGATGAGCACTGGGTGTTGTATGGAAACCAATTTGACAATAAATTTCATATATTGAAAAAAAATAAAATAAAATGCCCATCCTTGCAAATGTGAGGTGAAAGGCAAAATGTTAATATCCATACTCCAGCCCCGTCCTCCCAGGAAATGAGGTAGAAGGAAATTAGATTCCGGGCTGCTTCTGGTTTCCCAGGAAGCTGTAATTGAAGGAAAGCAGAAGAACAGAGGTAGCGCCTCAAAACCGTGACCTCAGCCCCGCTGAGCCCTTCGGCTGAACAGCTGGGTCTGTATTCGCCACAGCATCTCCCAGCGGGAACTTCTGCAGAAGGAAATACCTGTTTCATATGGTTTTATTTTATTTTTTAACGTATGTTTAATGTTTACTTATTTATTCAGAGAGAATGAGCAGGGGAAGGGCAGAGAGGGGGGAGAAACAGAGAATCCCAAGCAGGCTCCACACCATCAGTGCAGAGCCCGACGCAGGGCTCGAACCCATGAACCGTGAGATCGTGACCTGAGCCGAAATCAAGAGTCGGACTCTTAACTGACTGAGCCACCCAGGCACCCCATATTTAAAGACTAACATTTTAAAAATTATCTTAGGAGGACTTAGGTTTCTTTATTGTGTATGTTTTTTGCATCAGTTCTAACAAATGGAATCTATCCTAACGTTCTGAAACAGTCACCCTTGCCAATTAGCTGTTGTCGATTAAAGGGACCTGGAGAAGACAAAGACTCCATTGGTTCAGGTGCCCGAAAGGCCCAAATACTGAACGTGAATATATTTAGAAGAACTTTGTTAGATAAAGATGAGAGAGAAAAAAAAAAAATGACCAGAAGTACAAATTCTACTACTTTGTGTGATGTAACTCTTAAAGCATCCTTTTGAAGTTATTTCTAAGAGTTCTGTTTAAGACGTCTGGATCGCAAAGTTTTATGTTATTTCCTATGGAAATTAACTTTTTTTTTTTTTTTAATTTTTTTTTTCAACGTTTATTTATTTTTGGGACAGAGAGAAACAGAGCATGAACGGGGGAGGGGCAGAGAGAGAGGGAGACACAGAATCGGAAACAGGCTCCAGGCTCTGAGCCATCAGCCCACAGCCTGACGCGGGGCTCAAACTCACGGACCGCGAGATCGTGACCTGGCTGAAGTCGGACGCTTAACCGACTGCGCCACCCAGGCGCCCCTGGAAATTAACTTTTAATGTCAAAGCATGGCATGTTAATTTGTCGTCCAACTCTGTGATTCGACTTGATGTCGCTAACTCTTATGGTGTATAAACTGCCCTCAGTTCCATTGTTTCCTCTCCCTGTGAGCCTGAAGACAAGATCATAAATTACACATTATCTTAGATTGTTGATCTCAAAATGATGAATATGAAATTCTGTGATCTGAAGCACCAGTGGAAAAGCTAGTCTGGGACGAGCGTGTATGAAGGCAAGGAAGGAGAGGCAGGTGGGAGCAGTTGTACAAAGTACAAGACCATCGGAGTGGAAATGAGAAGGGAAGACAGCCCACAGACCTCCCACTCGTAATCATCCCGTGACCAAAATTGCAAAACACAAAACAATACCAGCAGAGTCACCCGTCATTATATTAACTCATTCCAGATGAAAGTATCGGATCCTAACAGAGACTTTACTTTAATGTGAATGTGTTTAGGGTTCTCTAAAAGATAAGGAAATGGCATCTGTTTTTACATAAATAAGCAATTATGAAGCAAAAACAAACAAACAAAAACAAGTAGAAATGAACAAACATGTGGCTATGAAAAAGGACCAAATAGAAATTCTACCCTTGGCATCACCAGAGAAAGAATTAGTAAATAGAAACCTAGAGACAAGTCTTCGAGTTTTCCTCATATTGACTTTGTGTATTTCTTACTAAGCTTAGTTGTAAGTATTTCATCTTTTTTTCCTTTGGTTTTAGGTTTACCATTCTAAATGGTAGCACTTAAAAGTGCTTCCCCAGTAAGTGTGGTCCTGGTTTTGTTATTGTGTCCGCCCTCTTCTCATTTTTAGGAGCTGTATTTGGTTCCTTTGTTTCAAATAGGCTTTGTCACTTTTTCATAGTTTCTCATTCTTTTTAGGTCTTTTCAAGCTTACTTTTATTTCTTTAAATGTAGCAAGCATGGCCGTCTTAGATTATGCACCTGATCGTTCCAGTCATTCAAGTCTTGTTAATTTATGGCTGTTCCTTTGTTTCTGCTCGTTACCTTTAACTGATGATTAAATGTGAAAAAACTATCTGTAGGAATAATTTACGGTTGAGGCTAACAGTTCCATTCTGTGGAAAGTGTACCCGCTGCAGCCGTCACAGCTAAAGATCATCAGTGCATGTTACCCTTAGGGCAGAATTAGGTGAGGGGCAGGCTCGTTCCCTAACCAGAAACCGTTTCCTCACAAACTAGCTCTTAGTTGCAGGAGATAAAAACAACAGGGAAAGAAGGCAAAGAACGGATGTTACAATGAACCCCCTTGCAGAATAGTGGCTTCCCGGAGATTCCCACATCTCACCCCTTGGACCCTGTGAATATGCTATCTCATAACAAAAGGGAGTTTATGGATGTGATGAAGTGAAGGATCCTGAGATGGGAAGATTATCCTGGGTTACTTTACGGGGGGCCAATCTCGTCACAGGAGTCCTTTCCGATGCAAGAGGGAGGCGGAAGAGTCCAAGAAGCGGGTGTGAGGATGTAAGTGGATGGCTGAAGAGATGGGCAGTTGCCGGCTTTGAAGATGGAGGCGGGGGCCACGAGCCACGGACAGCAGGTGGCCTCCCAAAACTGGAAAGGGAAAGAGCGGGATTCTCCTCAAGAGCCTCCAGAGGAACAGAGTCCTGCCAACACTCTGATTTTAGCCCAGTGAAAACGGGTTGGACTCCTGACCTCTAGGACTGAAAGAGAATAAATCTGTGTTGTTTTAAGACCCCTAAGTTTGTGGTGATTTGTTACAGCAGCAATAGGAAACTTACACAAAGGCATTTTTAGCCTGAACTCCTGCTTTCTTTGCTTGATAGATATGCAGATAATGCAGAAGTGAAATCAACATGTGTACATTTGTTGGTACAATAGACACATTTCTCAGCTCTTTACTTGTGTCACCCTTCCCTTGGCGGCACAGCCCAGTGCCAGGAGGGAAAGTGACGGCGTGTGTGTGAGCAGCCAGCTTCTCAGTTGTGCGGGACCCTACCAGGGAGGCCCATTTCTCGTTAGCCCCACACAAAGGACTGAATTGTGAACTATTGAGTGTGAGGCAGTGAGTGGCTGGGAGAACAGCAGTCAGGATTCAGAATGGAGCATATGAAAGGGACACGAATCCTGCTGAACAACTTTAGGACTCCAAGGAGCTCTACCCATGAGCTGCTGGGGACACCTTGCCTGAGGATCCCCTGAACTGGCCCATGGGCACCCGAACACTCCATGAGCCTCACCCATAAACACCCTCATCCGGTGGCCAGCACCCTGTGTGCACCACAGAAGGGAACTTTTTCAGATGGCTGGTACAAAACTAGCCCAGCTGCAGGATTGGGAGAAATCACACGCAAATACAGCATCCAACCACCACCTTAGGGAAAGCAACAGGGAGGCTGTCGGTGCCCCGCCTGGCCAGGCAGGATGGAGAGAAGGCATACATGCCCAAAAATTACCCAACTGGAGAGAACCAGAAGAGTGCAGCAAGCGTTGCCATAGAAAATACTGAGAAAGCCTCAGAATCCTCAATGGGTCGAAGGGAGTTTTTTCTCTCCCACAGCCAGTTAGTAAAGACTGGAGGAGGGGCGCCTGGGTGGCGCAGTCGGTTAAGCGTCCGACTTCAGCCAGGTCACGATCTCGCGGTCCGTGAGTTCGAGCCCCGCGTCGGGCTCTGGGCTGATGGCTCAGAGCCTGGAGCCTGTTTCCGATTCTGTGTCTCCCTCTCTCTCTGCCCCTCGCCCGTTCATGCTCTGTCTCTCTCTGTCCCAAAAAAAAATAAACGTTCAAAAAAAAAAATTAAAAAAAAAAAAAAAGACTGGAGGAAACGGCATCATCAAATGTGGAGACTGCAGTGAAGGACTTCAATGAGCATGAAAAGTCAAGGACACATGGCAGCCAAAGAAGTGCAGTATTTTTATAGTAACTGGCCCCAAAGAAACAGAGGTCTGTGGTTTTCCCAGTAAAGAATTTAAAATACTTGTTTTGAGGAAGCCCAGTGAGCTAAAAAGAAAATACTGGAAGATGATTCAATGAAATCAGGAAAACAAAATAAGAAATTTAACATGAACAAAATAAGAAATTTAATGGAGATTGGAATCATAAATAAGAACCAAACACAAGTGGTGGAGCTGGAGAGCACAATGAATGAAACAGAACATCAACCAGACTGGATCAAGCAGAAGAAAGAACCTCTAAGACAGAAAGCAGGTCATTTGAAATTATCCACTCATAGGAAAACAAAGAGAAAAGAATGAAGAAAGCCTGTGAAATATGGGATATCATTAATTTTTAAAACTCTACACATTACTGGGGTCCCAGAAGGAGAAGTGAGGGAGAGAGGGGCAAAGGCTTAAAGGAATTGTGGTAGAGAACTGACTGAATCCAGGGAGAGATTTAGATACCCATTACATGAATTTCAGAGGTCCTCCAATAATTTCAACCCAAGAATCTTCTCAGACACCTTATAAACTATCTAAAGAAAGATAATTTGAAAATAGGCAAGGGAAAAAATTGCCCACCTACAGGGAATACCATAAGGCTCAGCAAATTTCTTGGCACAAACCTTGCACACCAGGACAGAGTAGGATGATATATTCAACGTGCTGAAAGAAAAAAAAACTGCCAACCAAGAATACTTCACCCCACAGAGTTGTCCTTCAGAAATGAAGGAGGGATGAAGACTCTCCCACACAAAAGCTGGGGAGTTCATCACCACTAGACCTGCCTTACAAAAAATGCTAAAAGGAGCTTTTCAAATTGAAATGAGGAAGGATGTTAATTAGTAACAGGAGAACACGTGAAATTGTAAAAAACATTGGTAAAGGTTAGTATATAGTCAAATGTTCTAATATTGTAACATGTCGGTCTGTGAATCACTTAACTCTAGTATAAAAATTAAAAGATAAAAACATTAAAAATTACTGTAGCTCCAGTAATAAAGGGAAGTAAACTGTGACATGAATAGCATAAAATAGGAGGAGGGGTAAAAGAGTTTTTACATGTGACTGAAATGAGCTTGTTATCAGCTTAAAAGACTGTTATAGCTATAAGACATTGTATGCAAATGTCATGGTAACCACAGACCAAAAACCAAAAACCAACTGTAGATACACAAGAGATAAAGAGAAGGAAATTCAAGCACACCACTAGGGAAAATCATCAGTTCACAAAGGAAGGCAGGAAGAGAGGAAGAGGGAACAAGGGAACTATAAAAGACTGAGTAGACAAAACAGTCCTGTTTTGGCAGAAGGACAAAGCTGAAGGCATCACACCCCCTTATATCAGACTGTATTACAAAACTATAAAAGTCAAAACAGCATGATGCTGGCACTGAACACAGACACATGGACCAATGGAACAGAACAGAGAGTCCAGAAACAAGCCCGTGCTTATATAGCCAACCAATTTTTGACAAAGGCACCAAGAAGATAGTCCCTTCAGTAAAGAGAATTGGGAAAACTGGATAATCACATGCAAACTGAATAATGAAGTCGGACCCCTATTTACACCACTGACAAAAATTAACTCAGAATGGATTAAAGACATAAATGAATCCATAGAACAGGAGAAAACACTTGCACGCCATATACATGTGTGATAAGGGGTTCATATCCAAAATATATAAGGGACTCCTACAACTCAAGAGCAAAACATAAATTTATAAATAACCCCAAATGCTCTGATTAAAAATGGCAGAGGACCTGAACAGAAGACACTTTCCCAAAGACACACAAATGACAAATAGGGCCATGAAAAGTCCAGTGTAATCATCACGTAAATGCACATGAAAACCGCAATGAGGTATTATTACCTCACATCTGTTAGAATGACTATTATTAAAATGGCAAACGACAGCAAATGTTAGGATGTAGAGAAAAGGGAATCTTGTACACTCTTGGTGAGTATTTAAATTCACACGGCCACTGTGGAAACATTATGGGGTTGGTGCAGCCACTGTGGGAGACAATATGGAGGTGACTCAAAAAATTAGAAATAGAGCTACCAGCAATCTTATTAAGATCCAGCAATCTTATTTTGGGTGTATATCCAAAGGCAATGAATTCACTGTCTCCAAGAAATAATATTATCCCCATGTTCATTGCAGGATTATTCATAATAGCCAGGACATGGAAACAACCTAAGGGTTCATCGACAGATAAATGGATAGAGAAAATGTGATATATATAGCAAAATAAGTCAAACTGAGAAAGACAGATACTGTACGATTTCACTTATACGTGGGGCCTAAAAAAGCCACACTCCTGGAGAATAAGACGGTGGCTGCCAGGTGCCCGGTGGGTGGGGGACATGAGGAGATGTTGGTCAACGAATACAAACTTCCAATTATCAAATAATCAAAACTGGAAATGTAACGTGCAGACTGTATGTCGGAACGTCACTAAGAGGGTAGATCGTAAATGTTCTCACACGTTCACAGACAGATAATTATGTGAGGTGATGAAGTTATTAACTAACCTTGTTGTAATTTTTTCTCAATATATGTATGTATCAAATCATCCCATTGTGCACTTTAATCTTACATGATATCATTTGCCATTTATGTCTCAATAAAGATGGAAAACTAAAAATTTTTTAAATCAATACCAAGTGTTAGCATGACTATAGAGCAACAGGTGGTTTCATATACTGCTAATTGTAGGATAAAAACACAGCCACTCTGGAAAGCGGTATGAGTTTCTTAAAATGTTCAATAGGGGCGCCTGGGTGGCGCAGTCGGTTAAGCGTCCGACTTCAGCCAGGTCACGATCTCGCGGTCCGTGAGTTCGAGCCCCGCGTCGGGCTCTGGGCTGATGGCTCAGAGCCTGGAGCCTGTTTCTGATTCTGTGTCTCCCTCTCTCTCTGCCCCTCCCCCGTTCATGCTCTGTCTCTCTCTGTCCCAAAAATAAAAAAATAAAAATAAATAAAAAAAAAAAACGTTGAAAAAAAAAAAATGTTCAATATGCATGTACCATATGACCCACCGTCATGCCTCTAGGTACTTATCCCAGATCAATGAAATCTTATATTCACTCAAACCTACACACAAATATTCATGGCAGCATTATTCGTAGTTGACAATAATTGGGAAGAACTCAAGTGTTCTTTAATGGGTCAGTGGTTAAACAAACTGTGGTCCACCCACACAGTGGAATACTATTCAGCAGTGAAAGGGAATGAGCTATTGATGAAGAGTGATGAACGACAGGAATGAATCTTAAATGCATTATGTAGTGACAGAACTCAGTTTCCAAAAGGTGCATACTGTAGTTTTCCATTTCCATGACAGTTTGGATAAAGCAAATATAGAGAACAGGGGCACCTGGGTGGCTCAGTTGGTTGAGTGTCCAACTCTCCATTTTGGTTCAGGTCATGATCCTGGGGTCATGGGATCGAGCCCCACATTGGGTTCTGCACTGATAGTGCAGAGCCTGCTTGGGACGTGTTCTCTCTCTCTCTCTCTCTCTCTCTCTCTCTCTCTCTCTCAAAAAATAAATAAATAAATAAATAAATAGATAAAAGTAAAAAAAATAATAGATCAGTGGTTACCAGGGGTTAGGACTGAATACAAAAGGGGTAGGCACAAGGGAATTTTGGGGGGTTTTAGAATTGTTCTCTTATCTCGTCTACTGCAGTGATTACAAGAATACACGCATGTGGTTAAAAAAAAAAAAAAAAACTCATAGAACTGTATACTCCCCAAAAATGAATTTTCCTGTGTATGAAAATTTTAGAAATGATTCAAAGAACTATATGAAATATTAGCACTGTTATCTTCATATGGTGAAATCATGGCTAAATGATCCTGCTTTTATTATCCTGTATTTTCCCGAATCTATTAAGAAAATTTACTAATTTTATAATGGAAAAGTGAATGTGATTTGCAAATAAGTGGCAGACTTACCTGATATATTGTTTTGACTCTACCCGTGACTGTCACTTAATAATATCTAGCACAGGGTGATAAGCAGGACGTCCGGGTAAGACCTCAAAGAGTATCACATCATGATTCACCTTGATTTTGGGATATAAAAAAGATGTTTTTATATAATTAAAGATAAGAAGAAGAAAAAGATAGGCCTGTTTTATATATTTGGATATACCCTTGGTGAACAGTTACTGTTTCTAGTTCAACAATCAGATTTTTCACATAGAGATCATATCATTAATGAAAATTCCATAAACAAACCTTTCGTACTTGGACCTGTTTATTTGTCATTTTCAAACACAGGTATCAGCCTACCAACTGGTAAGCATTCGATCTTTGGGTATTTTGTGGATTTACAGCAATGCGAATTCATACCATGGTCAGAGTTACTTCCTAGTATTCAGACACTCATTCAGAAAGGTAAGACTAATTCTAAGAATCATTCTCTAACTTTTCTAAATATTGGAATTACTCTACATATAAAAGTAGATATGTTAGCAACTTTGAAGATTGATATATTCCAAGTTCGTGCGGGATCAATTTTTCCCCCCTTTTTTAAATATGATTTGTTGTCAAATTGGCTTACATACAACACCCAGTGCTCATCCCAACAAGCTCCCTCCTCGGTGCCCATCACCCACTTTCCCCTCTCCCCCACCCCCCATCCACCCTCAGTTTGTTCTCTATATTTAAGAGTCTCTTGCGGTTTGCCTCCCTCCCTCTCTGTTTGTAACTATTTTTTTCCCCTTCCCTCCCCCATGGTCTTCTGTTAACGTTTCTCAATATCCACATATGAGTGAAAACATATGGTATGTGTCTTTCTCTGCCTGACTTATTTCACTCAGCATGATACCCTCCAGTTCTATCCACGTTGCTACAAATGGCAGGATTTCACTCTTCCTTGTTGCCAAGTAGTATTCCATTGTATATATAAACCACATCTTCTTTATCCATTCGTCAGTTGATGGACATTTAGTCTCTTTCCATAATTTGGCTATTGTTGAAAGTGCCACTATAAACATTGGGGTACAAGTGCCCCTTGCATCAGCACTCCTGTATCCCTTGGGTAGATTCCTAGCAGTGCTGTTGCTGGGTCATAGGGTAGATCTATTTTTAATTTTTTGAGGGACCTCCACACTGTTTTCCAGAGCGGCTGCACCAGTTTGCATTCCCGCCAGCAGCGCAAGAGGGTTCCCGTTTCTCCACATCCTCGCCAGCATCTGTGGTGGAACCAGTTTAGATCTATGTTTACAAAACATGCCTTTAAACAAGTAACCACTGAATGTTGCTTTCTGAGAAACTGGAATATATTTGATTGTGTCAGGTGTGCATGGTGAAGCTGTGGTTGATTGAAGGGCTTCCTGATGGAAAATACGTATCATTTTAATTAGCTGTGATGACTGAGAGCAGAGAAGGGGGAGGACTTCTTTTGAAAGAGGAAAAGCAGGGGAGCCTGGGAGGCTCATGTCAGTTATACGTCCCGACTTCAGCTCAGGTCATGATCTTATGGTACATGAGTTCGAGCCCCACGTCAGGCTGTCTGCTGTCAGCCCAAGCCCACTTTGGATCCTCTGTCCCCTTCTCTCTCTCTGCCTTTCCCCTGCTCACATCCTCTCTCTCTCTTTCTCTCTCAAAAATAAACATTTAAAAAAAGAAAGGACAACTGTATATGTAAGAACTACACTTGATTATAAAAGAAACTGCTAATGAGAAAAAACCAACTGCGACTTAACACCCACAACATGCTGCATGGTTTTCATTCTCCATCTTTTGCTTATACACATAGAAAACAAAGATGTAGAAAATTGTTGTGCCGTGAGAGCTCGGTTGAAGTTGAGGCAAAGCTGCACATACAAGAAATTCAATAAATGCAAATGGAGTTGAATTTCTTTGACGTTAGGCTTCTCTCATCAGTGAATTTCAAAGTTTGGTTATAAGCCTTTTTGATAGAAAACAGCCAGAGATACCATAATTATAGGCATCCAGAAAGCGCTAATTTTGAACTAATTTATACAAACAGTCTGCGTATAGGATGTGGAGAAATGCTATCAGATCATTTGCATAAATAGAAGCATCTTACATACCTGCTCAGTAGGTCAGGAACAGGGAAGAGTCCACCAGTATAACCAAACAACTTTCACTTGTTGGTACTATTGAAGATGCGTACCTTCAATCTGAAAATTATGTGTTCTTTATTTTTTATTTTTTTAACAAAATATACAATATTGATCTTAAAAAGTACATAAGTATTAGTGGGTGATTCTGTTTCTTTGAAACCTCTGAATTGTGTCTCATATGTCAAAGCAGCTAATGTTGGTTATTTTTATCCTTAACTTTTACTACTACATACAAAAATATAACAACGTCAGTGTACGTAACTCAGTATCTTAGTGTGCCGTTCCTATGGGAAAACAGAGGTATTTCCTCCAAACCTATGAAGACCCCACTTTCCCCGGTTCCATCTTATCCTAATTGTAGGCAACAGGCTTAGAAGAAACTGAAACCCTCTCAAGCTTTCAAACCCAAACCTGTAACAGGAATCTAAATGTCACAGCATCACAACGTCCTCTTCGATCTAGCACCATGCAAAGTAAGTTAGGGGTCCTGGTCCAGGCCAGTCTCTGGCACTCCCACAGAAAAAAAAAAAAAAGAAAGAAATAAAAAACCCACATTTTGTTCATACAATAATCCAGAAAGCATCTCAGAAATACCACTGGCTGTGTGAGGTGCTTTGGAAGGAAAGCACTGGAAGGCAGTTTGTCAATACATATCAAAATTATAAACCGTGTCCCACTTTGTAGTGACCCGACAACTGTGCACATGAGAAGCTATGTGCAAAATGGTAGGCGTATATTACATAAAGTCAGCCCAAGACCGAAACCACAGTAATTATCCATTGCTGGAGCGCTGGTAAGAAAAGTATGATACATTCATCAAATAGAAGAATATTAGCTAGAAAGAAGTCTCTGTGGGATAGAGGATCTCTAAAATGTACTAAATTTTTAATAATTGCTGTGCAGGGTACACAGTGTGGGGTGGGGACTGGTCCCTGGGATGAGGGAGTGAGGGAGACCGCTGAGTGCATTCCCTGATGTACGTTTGAATTGTGCACCATGTGAATGTCCTGGCTGGTCCGTTTCTAGTGCTTCAGAGATGAAGTGAGGTCTGTGTTGTATTTAACCCTTTCGAGAGTTTTGGCTGTGTAATGTGGGGGGAAGAATTGGGATGGTATTCACAGGAAGCTGTTGTATCAAGAGAGATTTGGTTTAGTTTTTGTTTGTGGGTGTGTGTGTGTGTGTGTGTGTTTTACTTCCTATAAAATTGCCTATATTCAACGGGTTTTTACTAAATGTCAGTTTCCCATAGTTCAACCAATAAAGAGATTGGAGATACTAGTGCATATGTGTTTCCACAATGGAAAATTTCAGCAGAAAGAAAGAGACAGATCA